AAGGCTTCAGCCTATTCCTTTTTCGGTTACTGTTTGAGTACTTTTATGTAAAATTATAATCTGTTGTTGTTGTTGTTGTTGACTGAAATAAACATTTCAAATTCAATTCAATTCAATTTTCTAAGGATTGCTCTCTGTCCGCAACTCATACTAACACCTGCTAGCAGAAACATCTTCAGTGCATTAAGTCTAAACATGCAGAGGAACGATTCAGGTCGCCAAGTGAACATTCATGTGAGCATTCACATTCTGAAGAAGTGAATAGGATTATCATATAAAACAGTCCATTAAGCTTAATAGCAATATTAGGTTGCAGCTTCACAGGAACAATTTATGCAGCCAGGATTAAATTAAAATTTGCTTTGAACAATTAGTGATATAACCTGCATTCTTCCTGTGCATGCTGAAGCATTATCTAGAGGGTCATTGCACAAAGTGAAATATAGACTCGTATGTTTGTACTCATGTGAAACCGAGCGTGTAGCAGTGTTGAACAAAGAGGATGTGTTTTAACTGTATTCATTTAGACTTCTGAAGGTAAAAAACCCCACAGAAAATTAAAATGATAAATCTACTGTAAGGAGGGTAATAAATTTGACCTTGCAGCTGCGAGAGTCCCACGCCTTGACTGCTGAACTGTAACCTCCACACAGGAAAACCTCCGGGTTGCTGGGATGCACGGCCGCACACATCACCTTAAACTCGTTGTCCACTTTCACTGTTGGCTGCCCTACAAAAGAGAAAAAAAAAACATGACAGAAATCTTGTGTTTGCGTATGTGTGTGTATGTTTACTATGAATAATTTACAACATCATGTTGCTAATTTGTGAATGCAGAAGTGTCAGGTTTGTCAAGATTGATTATAAATTACATTTCTTTAACTGAATTAATCATTATAGTTATTGTTATATTGCTATTTTTCTACTTTACTGTTCTTTACTGTGTCCACATTTATAAATGTCAAGATCAGCACTTCAACTAAAAACTGAAAATTGCTGAATTATTGCTTAATTGATTCATTATCATTAAAATGTCACAGACATAAAGATCCACTGATAAACTGAGAAGATGGCTGGACGATTAATCACTAATCATTAATCTGGTATCAAAAATACACAGAAATAAAGGCTCAACAATAAATCTGAGTAAATACAGACTATTTACTTTCTGCTTGATTGTCCCAAAACAAGCAAAAAAAAAAAGAGACTATATGAATTAAGGTAAATGGCAGGAATTTTCTTTCTCAGCTGTCAAAGCCAAACTAAACACAGCATACATTTCAGCTGCATTACCCCACACATGCAACTTTTCCAGATACTTCTCTTTGGTTTATTAATTGAGCACATTTTGGGGATCCAGTTTCAGTTCCATTGACACATGCATTACATTTGTGAGCATTAAACTCTGCGTGTAATGTGGGGCCAGGGGAATGATGGAAGAGTAAAGGAAAGAAAAGATTTCCAGGCAGGGACAAGTTTAATACGAACTCACACAAGAGCGTGGAGAGTGTGTTCCAAAATGATTAACCCTGATTCTCCTTAACCAAGAATCTTCCTGTTGCCACTGCTTAACAAAAAATGTATTATGGTCATGAGCGTTCAATAGGGTGGGGGCACCAAATGGCCCAAAGTTGTTTGGTGTGTGTAATCAAGCATGAGCCTAATAGTGAGCTACAACTGACTGTGAGGTGAGGCGTCCACAGAGCTCCATTAAACACTATTCATTTTGCAATGTGGACAGGGGACTGAAAAAGCTAACTTTCAATTCCATTTATTCAGCTTTTATTTTGGCATCTCTCAACTATGTTTGAACTGAAAGACAAATCATATCAGAAAATGTTTTCGATTTCTGTTACTTTATAATGGGATCCTAAAGATTTCAGTTGCGTTCATGATATAAATGTAACACACAGATTTAGTAAAAATAAATGACAACTAGAATCAAAGACTGATTAAAGAAACATTCTAAATAAATGAGAATAAATGTAGAAATTGAAGATGATAAGCTTGGCGGTTGTGGAAATCCTATAAGCCTTCCTCATCACTTCACACTGTCAAAAATTACACATGCTATGTATGTACTTTAAGATATGCTTGCTGCCACATTTAAATACTTGTACAGATGTGTAGATTTTATATATCTTAAAATTAAAGATGGACTAAGCCAACAAGATGTCCCCCATTGATTAGTGGATTCCTGGTTTGAAGGCTCCAGATCTGATTTTTACATTGAAACCTAGTGTCACGAGCAGGGGGGACGATCTGGCTAAGAAACCGAGGACGCTTCACACTCAAACAGGAGCCTTTTTTCAAATCACAGGGTAGGCATGCCTAAATTATACCCTTCTCTATAGTTTACTCTGAATTAGAACCTAACTTACAACATGAACATCATGTTGCATTAAGCAAGACTTAAAATTACCAATTGAGACCATAAACTCAAGTTTTTTACTAAGGTCATAAATCTAGTAAGCAGTGGGATCATTTTCAAGTCAGATTACTTCTATTAACTACTCACCATCAGAAAGAATCCACCTTCAAGGCTTTTCTATATTGTTTTCATCTAGACATGAAGACTTAGTCTGTCTTTTATATACAGCCTGTTTATAAAGATTTGTTTACAGTGTATCCTTCCGCTGTGTCTAGACTCTGTCCATGTGACCTGAATATTGTGAATGTAGCATCATTTCTGTCTGCTGAAGAGCAGTGCTAATCCTCAGGATAGCACACTTTTTTGTTGTTGTAAATATCAAATGTAAATCAGTGTGCTGGACCATGCAAGCTGTTTATTTCTTGCAGCACTGTTTGCTCATTTTCAGCCAACCTGCACTCTTGTGTTCAGTACAAAATCTTGCTGGTTTCTACCGATCGAAAATATTGCAAAAGTGCACAACTTTCCTAAGTGATAGTTTTATCTCTCTATTTCCAGACAACGGCATTGTACACATGAGTTTCTGAGAGGATTTAAGCATCACTCGAGACAAAAAGATAAAACTGACAAAGATGTGATGTGGAGAAAAGAAACCAGAGTATAAAGTACTGTTTTGGCTAGAGGCTGCTTTATCTCAGTCAATTAAAAAATGTCATACTTAAACATAAAACAAAAACACCGAAGGGCTAAAATATAATTAAGCCTGACAGGGTGCAACCAAAAATTAGTTTCCTGGGAAAACGATGAAACAAGACTATGAGCCAGCAACTCTGTCAAAGGCTATGCAAAGTGGAGCACCTCAGGGCTCAATGGCTTCTCATTAATTCATCGAACAAACAACAAAGGCCACATCTAAAACAGTCTTAGACAGTTAGCCCACAACAAAAACATACTTCATTATAGACTTGTTCCACAATATTCCCACCAAGACTTTTTAGAAGTGGGGAATGATTCACAGCTAATAAACTGCACCAAAAATGGACCTTCTCTCCTTTTAATGGGGGACTAGTTCACTCACTCACGACTGCACTGGTCTGATCCAAAGTTTTAACAGGCAGTTTCATCAGGCTCATACTTCCTGCTTAATTGGCTTACCAACAGCGATATGCAGAAGATCTGTCATCAAGATTTAAACTCGTGTTTAGCAAGACAATGAGAAAACATTCTCCTCATAATAAATAGGGCCTCATCATGTTTTAATTAAGCAAGATTAATTAGCTGGCATGCGAGAGGAGATACGGGAGGACAGCAGTGATCTGTCCCTCCCTCACAATAGTTTATTCTGTTGAAAGAACTGTGATTGTGCTGTAGTGCTGACAAACAGTGGATGACTTGGAGCAGAGGACATTAGGGATGACTGGGATAGCAGGGATGAGCCCTTCAGAGCAGAGAGAAGCAGCGAGTCTGCCTCATTATGGGTGGTGTCTTTGCACTTATGCAGAGGTTAGGAAACACATTATTCAGTCTGACACGCCACATCCGAAAAAATGCTTTGGATGTAGACTTAATAAGCGGTATTTTTGGCTGTTTTATTTTTATATTTTTCATTTCAACCATGCCCTCGGACTTGATAGAAAAGGTAGCAAAATCCTTAAATAACTGTGCATGACTTATTAATTTAATCCTAATTTTAAAAAATGAATGTACTTCCTTCAACACTGCATAGTAGGTTTCATTAACCAAGATGGCTTTAAGCTAAAGTGAGCCACTGCTTAGTTAATCATTGTGACGTAGTACTGGAAGTAATGACAAAAACAAAACTTAAACCTTGTGTTTAAATGAAAATAGGAAAAACTGTTCTCACAAATTTCGTGTCATAGCTGACATACTATGCTTACTCTCTGCACCACGTTTTTTCTACCTACACTGCTTTTCAGGTCAAAATAATCCTTATTTTTCTTAATGGGCCAACAGCTCATCAGCTCATCCTCTGAATCAAGCCAGTTGTTTTAAGCCAAGGTTGCAAAGACGAAGAATGAAGATGTTTCAACTTAAGCACTAAGCTCTAACTTCACTTACACGATGCACATATGAACAAAAGATTAAAATTTGGCAACAATTTGACAATCTTTCCCTTGATATTTTAACTCCGGATATGTTTCTGTGATCTTGTTTTTAATTACTACTATGTCTTTGCTTTATCCTCTCTTTTTTAGCTGTCAGGTTAAGTTAAATGACTAAACGCTGTAGGTTAAAGCAGATCATCTCGAATGGCAGGAAAGAAGCTCAATAATAGAAAGAAATTAAGTATTGAGCAACTGCAAAATACTGCACACTGAATTGCTGGGAATGCTCCCCTCTCCGTGTTGGCTGCTTTTGAATGCCATCACCACGGAAGCTCATACAAAGCCTCCAAGTCCTTTACTTTTCTTAGTGCATGGGCGTTAATGTAAGTTAGAAATGCTGTCATGTGGGTTTTATCCTTTGTCTTTTGAAGGAAAGCTCTTTTGTTTTATTTTCTTTGGGGGGGGGGGACTATATAAAGCCTGTGTTGACCAAGTAGGTTGCTACTCTAAAATGAAGCTTTCAAAGTAGGTCAAAATACTGGTGGCATTTAGAGGAAATAATACTGCGGGTGTGTGCTTTTGCATTCGTTGCCTCTTGGTGTGCAACGCTTGAGGCTCCTGTGATTATACAGTAACACGGTGGTGGTTAATTCTTGGTACGTGCAAATGAAGTCTAATGAACTGAATATGTTGAAGAAAATATTCCAGTGGAATAAAAATGTGTGAAAGAATGCTGAAAGATGGGGGTTTTTATACTGTAATATTGTAAAAGCCTCTCTATTTCTTTATATATGATGAAAGAAATAAGAGCACTGACTGCAAAATCTGACTTTTTGTTAACCTGTGTGCAAGCTACTACTTCTTCCCTTTCTTTCCTTATTTATAAAAATGTGCATTTATTCATTGATCTAACTTTCTCAAATGTACCCAGCGTGACAGTGTGGGTTACATGGATTGCATGGCTGGAGAAGAAATTTCAGCATCTAAGCTGTGTTTTGAAAACCAGAAAGATTTTCTGTTGCATGACCCCCAGACTCCAATCCCCAGTGTGACTCAATAATTTAGTTTTGCACTATTGGCCTTGTAATTCAGTCTGGAACAAAAAAAAAAGCCTGCCCGTGGCACTAATGTGAAACTCCATCTCACAACCAACCTTTTACTGAAGCTTTCACCTGGGTTTATCAAATAAGGTAATGCAAACCTAAACTGAGCTGGAAGTCACTACAAGAGACAACTATTGTGTATTATTGCTTTTCTCTGATCTAATTTTGTTTCTTTTTTCTTGCATGAAATGGCACATCAACCTGTGGGAGAATGTAAATAGGTGAACATATTTTACATCACCGTCATCAGACGATCGGCTTTTCTGAAGACGGTCGTTAGAGTGCGTACAAAAGCTGGGGCTTCACACTAATGCCATCCATACTTAATTAATTTATTCCACTATTCAGCCTCTCTGACTTTAAAAAGTCCTCTTTATCTTACATTCCTCTCCTCAGTTTCTCTTTTAGCATTATGCCACTTAACCTACTCGCCTTCCCTATATCGTTTTCACCCCAAGCTATTGCTATTCAGCTGTGACAGCTTGCCTTGGACCGCTGGGAGTGGGTATACGGTTCTACAAATTAAACTGGACACAGAAACAACTGCAAAGGTTTGCAAGGAAAATGGGTTCACATACTATTCTGAACACACAGGCATAGGAAATTACTTTTCTTTGCAAACATAATGATTAGTGCAGCACTGAGGGTAGATATGCAGTGGTGAAATGATGAGTCAGATGTCCATGAAGACTCTCGCTGTTTATTCAAGGACGAGTATACCTCTGCAAAGAGAGCTCAATTGAACACAAAGGCTCCAACTGCTTTTCCTGTTACAGCTAAGAGGATCTGCATTACCGTGAAGAGCATAAAGATCACATTTATCATGATTAGAGTCTGCCATCACAAACACTCAAGCTTTCTGAGTATCCCATCATCCAGTCTAGTATTGATATATAGGCTGCATGAATGGCGAGGGGGGTGCTGGTAGAATAACTAAGCTAAAGCCTCGGTGAGTTGTGAGTGCCATATATTTCAGAAAAGCATTTGATGTGAAGATAACTCAAACTCCATGCATGTTGGAATCTGTTTAACATATTATGAGGGAAATTATGCATGTAGCTTATTCCATGTGCTCTTTTCACTGCCAGAATATGATTTGCTTTAAAGTGTTCGTGACTTGGTCTGAGCTCCACCACATCTGTAGTGCAAACTGGTCTGGAATTCCCAACTCCCACATTAATATTCAGCAAAATTGAATTTTCTTCATCACACACTGCAATAGAAAAGCAACCTTATTGCGCTCTCATGCAGATCTTCATCCTTAAAATATCAATTTTAAGGATGAAGATCAATCAAGCTATTGGCTGCATATGACCAAAAGCATTTGTTTGTTTATGGTTTTGGTTAGAGACGATCCAGTATAAGGTCATGGTAGCTGCTCCTGTGGTGATGTATCCATTATTGATCCACTTCCTGGAGCTGTCTGTGTGTTTAATGGGCTGCCCAAGCTATTATCCGTAGGCTTTATTGACAGTATTGACAGACAAGCTTAGAGGGGAAGTGAAAACGGCAGCAAGTCATCATTGCCATGTGTTGACCCTAGGGATGCAGATGCCATGGGGGCTTCAAAGAAATTTTCTCTCTCTCTTTGTTCAGATACAAAGAATTTGAGAACATTCATGGTAACTATTCTTATTGCTCAATAAGCAGTCTTACTGTGGCAGATGTATATATGACTTACTATCATCTTTACTGCCATGCTTGTATTGATAGATAAAAAGATAGACAGACTTTTATTTTAGATTTTCATTTCAGACATCTGCCTCCCACCTGAATGAAACAGTCTATAGGCATTCAATATACACTCACGTCTACTTTATTATGTCAACTTTGTTGAACTGCATTAATTCTTCATGGCATAGATTGAGCAAGGTGCTGGAAACAGTCCTCAGGGATTTTGGTTTATCCTGACAAGATAGTGTCAAACTGCTGACATATCCATGATGTGAATCTCCCATTCCACCACATAACAAAGGTGCTCTGTTGGATTGAGATCAGGCGACCGCGGAGGCTATTTGAGTACAATGACCTTGCAGTTACGCTCAAGAAAAATAATTTCCGATGATTTGAGCTTTGTGACATTGCACAATATCATTATCAGAAAATGGGCACACTGTGATCACAAGTACTCAGGCAGACTGTGGCGCCTAAATGATGTTCAATTACTACAAAGTGGCTCAAAGTGCAAAAAAATCACAAAGCAGTTTGGCCATTCTCATCTGAACAAAGCATTTTCAACCTGCGGCTTACTGGTTATTTTCTTTTTGGATCATTCTCTGTAACCTGTAGAGATGGCCGTGTGGGAGAAGCTCAGTAGATCGGCCATTTCTAAAATGCTCAGAGCAGCATGATGTTCAATTTAGATTTCAGCATGTCATCTTGCTGTTTACATGCTTAAATGCACTGCAATGTAATTTGCTGATTATGTATTTTGTTAAAGACCATTGAACAGGTATACCGAATGTAGTGGCCAGAGAATGTAGTCCCACTGTAGATTTTTAGGCTGATTTGCAGGAAACTAACTAAAGTAAATGTATTATTCTTGCAAATTATTCACAACTTTGTTAGTAATATGTATCACTTCTACTATACCATAGCAATCAAGGGCGATGGATGCATTGCAACTTAAGGGTTAGCATGCAGATGGCGCAGCCAGGGATCGAACCACCAATGTTCCAACTAGTAGATGCTAGTAAGTGCCTGGGCTACAGCCAAATTCTGTGTTCAAGTTCCAAATGTGTAACTTAATGAGCTGACACCACAATAGTTATCAGCAGCACTAACCAACATGTAGCTGCATTTCTGAGGGTGTGCAGGTCAGGTTATGTTGTAGAGTTCAGAGGGGTTTGTGGTTACGTCTAAGCTATGACGTAGATTTCCCGCTAAAGCATAAATTGGGCATTAAAACAAAATACCTGTTATTTTATTTTGATATTAAAAGGCAAGAAAGCAGCATTTCTTGACTGTGCTTGGAGACATCTTTGCAGAGACATTTGCTCGAGGAATTCAGATTTCAAAGGTTGTCCCTGAAATGAGTCACGACTATAGAGAGAGAGAGTCAGAGACAGAGAGAGAAGTAGCTCTGCAATTCATACAATGAGCTCATAACAGATTCTGGAGGCTCAAGGCAATTTAAATTTACGCCACACATAAATTACTACACTGACTTTAAATCAGAGTTTGAGAAACAATAAATGTGCATGAAGTGAAATTGCACAGGCGTTTTGTTGTCCCACAACATCAGCAACGTGGTTGGAGAAAAATATCTAATCAAACAAAGGCTCACACTTCAAGCCAATTAAGTAAATGTAATATACACACCACAGTCGTTCTGCCTGTGTATGGGAACATCCAAAATTATATCTCGTGTTGAGTTTGGTTCAGGGGAAAAATCAGAGTGATATACTTGAAAAAGTAAAGCCAGTGGTTTGTTATTTGACATTTGGTTCTTCAGAACTACAGAAAGAAATGCTGCTGCTCACCCGTCTCCACATCAGTGATCACAGCCGTGTTGTCAAATGAGCCGGTGAGAAAGTGTCGCCCGCAGGGGGTCCAACAGGCATCGCGCACAGCTCCCGAATGGCAGGTGTAAACCCTGAGGCATCGCCCGCTCTCTGCTGCATCCCACACCTGCCAGACATGGGCACATGGATTCACGCCAAACTCACAAATTTATCCAGACTGCAGTCTTTTTTGTTGTTTTTTCACTGACTGTGCACAATATTAAGACAGTTCAGGGATAAAGACTCAAAGGCCAAGAACTGACTGCATGAATTTCTAAGAGTTCAAAATCCATTATCAGTAGGTTGTGCTTGGTCTTTAGGAGTTGTTTTAAATGATCACATATATAAAGATACACAAAAGAACCCTGGATCTTTTACGCGATCTGATGACATAAAGAACAAGGAAATACGTCAGAGGATTTGGCATGCAGTCATTTCCCTCCACATCAAGGAGATGGAAGCCTAGGTCATTGGATCCAATTGACATTCAAAGAAAAGTTTATACAAATATTCAGTTAACTTCCTGTCAATTTATCATTCTAGAGAGGTTTAGCTCAGTTATGAAATTCAAAACCAAGCTATGTATTATGTGACAATAAAATCTATTAGTTAAGTTTAATAGTAATAATAATGTGGAAGTCAAATACTTGACTGCCATCACTACCACGAAGGGGGAAATGTGCACATATACTGTAAAGCTATAAAAAACTATTGAATATCAAATAAGTCAAATGCTTTGGACGTATCACTGCACTCTGGAAAAGGATATTCATACAGAAGACAACTTTATTTGTTTTCATTTTTCGGGCCCCCGAGTGAAGGTGAAAAATTTTATTACTGTTATTGAAAATGATAAAATAAGCCAAAAGTTGTTTTTTTTACTTTTCTTTTTTATGTGTATATATAACAAATATTAAATAAGTATGGAACTGTGAGCGCATAACTACAAATGGATACATGGAATATATGTAGCATGGGTTTATGGTATATGTACATCAATGCTCAAGTGTTTCTTTTTTCTTTTTTAACTGACTGCACTTGTTTGACTTTTGTCTGAATTGGACGAAGCTTTAAAGCAGCTTGCTGAAAATCAAAAGCAGCAGGTTTGGACAAATTTTACAAACCTAAAATATTCTGTGTGTGCCTGTGCTGTGTCCTTTGGAACTCAAACTCTTTTTCTGTGTGAACTCTCCTCAAACCTGAGAAAGATTTAATATAGGCCACTTTCACCTCACTTCCATTGTAATGAAATGAAATGATCAGCTGGAAAAACTAGGAAAAACATCCATATAAATCGGATCTGTCTGTAGGATTTTAAGGGAGAAACAGCCTTTCTAATGAATTAATCAAACTAATTACCTCTGAGTGGGCCTATAAATCAATTCCCACTGGGCTGTAATGGCTTTAATGCTTTGGTATTGTCAGAGTTTACTCTGATAAAAAACAGAGCAGGAGAGAAAAGCTTCCAGCTGCCTCCTGTTTGTCATGGCGGTCATGACTACACACCGTGACACCTTGCGGGTTTGAAATACGATATAATGGTGAAAATGTGGCGTGTAAATAAAGGAGGTGGTAATTACCCACACTGCTCAAGTGATGTCTTCAGTCAAAGTGATGGCTTTCAAAAAGTTCACTTGGCAAAATCATTATTATAAAATGTCTTTCATAAAAGGTCCAGTAGGATTTTCTCCTAGACATGCTGAAAGAAAAAAGGTTCTCATTGAAGCCCAGCTTGAAATCCAGTGGGTGGTCTGGACTGGTGCCCACTGAGGTGATGAAGGATTTTTTGGGCTCCCAAGCACTGCCAGGGCCACAGAGGAACTTTTAAGATCTACGGAGCACTGCAGATCCCTTTGTGCTTCTCTCTGTGTTTCATTATTAAATACGACTCTTCTATGCAGCACATGAAACACAGTAAAAAGTACTGTACCACAGCTCCCACAGGACACAAAGAAGACAGATGGACAGAGAAGAGCGACATCTGAATCCAGCAGACAGAAGTCTGACAAACAGAATGCTAGAGATGCCTCCAGGGTGGGGAAAAAGTAGCAGAGAGAGAAACAGAGGCATGTTTTTAATTGAAATAAACTAAATATGGACATGATGCATCTGTTAGGAATTACTCCCATTCACTGTACAACACTATAAGCCTCTTCTCTGAATGATCTTCCGCTTAAGGAAACACTGCCATCTGAAGGTAGCATGGAAATCTAAGAGAAAAGCAACTGATAACAATATAAACTGACCAAAAAGCTGTAGAGTATTAAACCAAACATACTTCTACATAACAAGTCTGACAAAGGGCCACAGCTTCAGCTCTGTGAATGACAGCAGCGATGATACACAGCATAAGAAAACAATTCATTGCACACAGTTGCATTAATCCAATACCGAGCGAGACTTGTGCATCACTGAAAACGAGTGCTTGTTTATTTGCATCCCCTTTAATTTCACCGGCCACTTAACAGACATGCAGAGCGGATCCCTGCAAATGACTCATTGGGGTAATCTGCTTCCTAAATGACTCTTGGTAATTAAAACTAAATTGGTATTCGTGTTATCAACATAAAACGGCTGCTTTACACCTGCCGTAGCCATGGTGACATCAGCTCCAAACCGGCTGGGATAACAATAATAATAGTCTGACAGACAGGACTGAACAACACAAGTCAGGAACCAAAAGCATGTCAGTGAAGGAACTTGAGTACAGAGAGGTGAATGTTAGGATTTCATTCATTATGTCCTTCCTCTCAATTAAACCAGACTAGTAAACAATAGCTGTGGTCAAAGTGCTGAAAGCCATAAAAGACATTCAATTATGTCAATAAATAATAATGTGCAATAAGAAAATAGACGCCGCATGAACAACGTGTCATTTTCAACAGTTTTCCTGTTACTTTCAACACCAGGACACCCCAGGGAGCGTTACTGTTTCTCTGGCAGTTAACACTTCCCAAATAAAAAAAGCAGGTTCTTCTAATCTGAAGTTGTCTGTAGACAAAATACACCATTTTTTGTTTGGCAGTATGTACTGTGCCCTGCTGTGATCTGCTACACCCCCGTCCCCTAATACACTTGCACTACTTTATAGGTTGATTTGTTTCATATACTTTTTTATATACTTAATTTTTGTTGGGTGTGTTTTGTGAGCATACCAACAAATTCCTATTAATTGTGTTGTTAAAAGGTTTACAGTAAACTCTCACTCTGAGCTAACTTAGAATGAAATCTCAATATTATATCTTAAATACACATTTGATAATGTTGCCACTGATTGTGTAAACAGTGGTTTCACTTGCATTTCGAGTTGAATTTGCCAAAAAAAAAGACAACACACAGTAAACAAAGATACAGATTAATCACACTAATCGATTTTGTATAATTGTGATTACTTTTTTCTGTTTTTCTATATATATGTCTTGATTAGATTTTTTTTAATATGATAATCGTAAAGTGAAAATCTGGAAAGGTTACAGCCCTAAACCGAATGATTACCAGATCAATCGAGGAACTCCTGACAACTACTTTCTTTACTGATCAATTGAAATCTTAAGTACAGAATATTCAATTAAATATGTAATAAGCGGTGAAATAATCAGTACCATCTTGTAGTTATCTCAAACCACAGATACTTTTACCGAATAAAAAACATTTCTTTGAAGATTCACTGATTCATAGATTTTTGCAGAACTTTGTGAAATTCAGACGCTTTGGTTTGATATGGAGCAGTGGAGCTCTGCACCATCACCACCACATCACACCAACTGCTTTGGAAAAGACCTGAATCCTAATCCATCAATCTGTATATTTCAGAAGTGGTTACACAGGATACAGTTAGATAGCCACAGAGTGGGATTACTATATTTTTATCAGTTGCATTGAAAAAATATAAAACATCTAAATAAAAAAATAACCCTATTTTTTAAATGGGAGTAATGGAAACTCCGGTATTGTTGCTATGCATATATTATATTAAATGTAATTTAATTTAATTTAATATAATTCAAATATTTTTGGGAAAAAGATTTTTCTTCTCTACATAAAAAAATCTAATTACTATAAAAAAAAAAAGTTACCCTGGAAGTACCTGAATTTGTCAACAAATCTAAGGATATATAATGAAATACCTATTTCATTTCATTGTCTGATGCTGAAATTCCACATTTCAAAATGCTGTCACAGTCCTCGACGATAAGTATGAGAACTTCTTCTATTTACTGGTTTCACAGAAAACGCCTGGTTAGACAGCCTGAGAGAAGAAGAGATAATCCATGCATACAAACAAACGGGTCTTCTCCTCCCCTCCTCTGCTAGTCTCCACCATCTGTTCCAAACAACCCTTTCCAGGTGCCAGACGAGGTGGCTACCATACCGCTGCACTTGTAAGATTATGCAAATATAGTCATTCATATTTAAATCGTTAATTATTCAAAATCCTCACAGGATATTGGGGCAGTTTTTGATTTTATGATGGGACAGACATATTTAGTCGATAGCAGGCGGTTAGCTGCATTGCTTGACCTTTACAACAGGGAAATGATGGAGTGTTTTCCTGGTGTGAACCAGAGAAAAGGAGAGGGAGGTAGAATACAAACAGTGAGATAAATCAGGAAGGAGAGACAGGAAGCCCCATGGGCCCTGACATATATTCAACACACAGTGACAGATATGATTCTAAAGAAAGTGGTACATTGTATATTTATAAATTGAGGCAGCAGGGCAGACACTGTATCTCTTCCAATTACACTACATGTCAGGTAAGCAAGTATCCTCTTCTCTCACAGCTTCAGCTTGCACGCTGGGTAAGTTCTGCTGTAGAGGTATGGACATGATACCCTCGTGGCAGATTAAACAACTGTTTTTGGATGAGTGATATATATCCACACGAAAGCTGAAACCTGTCAACATAGCATTTTTCTCCACTGGGCCAACAGACCAGTAGATCAGACTTTTTATGGTGCCCACAAACAAAAGCCAATTACTGATTCACTTATATACTGCTAGCTGAATGTATAAGCATATCGCATAATGTATTAGTAGATTTGTGTTTTTAGATTATAAATTCATATCGGAAAAAAAAATATAACCAAAGCCTGAATTAGCACTTGCATGGCGCAGGTTTTGTTGCTTCAAAGAGAGCTGGTGGATGGCTGCCACTGCTCCCCTGACAAATTTAAATAGCAGTTTATCAGCATAAATTTTAGCTTCTTCTTAATGCAGCTGTGGTTAGGAGCAGGTCACCTTTCTCACATGTGAGCTATCCGCACAGATTGCGATCTTTACTGCCTCTTTAATGTGATCATATTGATGGTGAGAAAAAAAAACGCTCGTCAGTGAGGGTCCATTTCAGCCAGTTCACAGGTAAATCGATTGGTGGAAACAACATTATTGGTCCAAATGTGTCAGCAGCTAGCCAATCAACTTGACCGACATACTTTTTTAATGGCCCCAGGCTGCAGGGTTATTTGTTATGTTGAACCCTGCATAGTTTCTATGTTTCAATGTTTATGAAGCAGTTAGCTATAACTGGACCTGGAGCATCCCAAGAGTAAATAGCATATTTTATTCTATTTCTACTGAAATTCTATTCTGTTACAGACAGATAAGTGGGGAAATATAATGATTAATTTAATTGTATGAGACAGTTTAAATAAAAGAAAACAACACATCAGGTCTACATTATTTAAAGCATAGCACTACTGAAGTATTTCCACAGCTTCACTATTGTACATCATTTATAAAACAAATGTAGCTTTCTTTACCTTGAAAGTCTTGTCTATGGAGGCAGACAGCAACAGATGGCTGACATGGGGCAAAGGACACCACTGCACTGTGTTGACTGGGCCCTGGTGGCCTCCCAGGCTCATCAGAAGCCTCCTGGGTATCCCTGTCATGCTGGGTGTTTGAGCAAGATATGGCTTCAGGCTTGCTGACACATCTGAGAGAATCTGACTTTCTCTGGCCTGATTCCCTAGGACTTGCTCTGCTGGGTGCTTTAGCTCCACTCCCTCTGAAGTGGTAAGTCTCTTCCTCTTAGGGATATACGGTCTGACACCAGATGGGACAGTTTGCTGTCTTTTTGCCGAGTTTGCAGCATTGCCTAAACTTTGTGGCATGCATGGAAGAGCCTGCGGGGATGCCATCTCCCTCTGACTATCAGGCAAATTCAAAGATGTTTCAGTATTTCTAAAATCTGCTGCACCTCCACATCTTCTTTTCGAGTTAGTAAAGCTCTGTGGCTGGGAGTGAGGATAGAGTGAAGACCTGCTTGTTTCTGCCATATTTTTATGATATTCCCACACTGTCTGGTCAGACACAAATCTTGCAGGGTAAGATATAACCTTGACAATATTAGTGTCTTGGTTTTCTTCTGTTTGAGCAGAATCTGTTGCTCCTTCTACTCTCTGATCCAGTGAGTCATCCTCTGACTCTGAATCTTCATAGTCCACTAGTGAAGACATCTTCACATGAAAATCTGAAAACAGAGAGGCATGAGTTGTTTCATTAGAGGCCCGACGGTGACATCTAGTGGCTACATGTACTCCTGCAACTAAAGGTGGTAAACATGCTTGTCACTCTTTTAAGGTTTAAACCTGCAACAGCAGCTTTTGGTTTTAAAATAATTTAACCTGGAATTTTAACAACAAATCTTAACATTTGTTTTGCTTTACCGACTATTTCTAAAATAATACCCCAGAGACCAGCTAAAGATACTAGGGGGAAACTATTCAGGTAAACAAGTTGCTGACCATTTTATTAATAACAAAAACGGACAAGAAGCGATGTTTTGGGAGATTCGGAATCATATGCGATGCTTTTTTAAAAGCTGGCTGTTAGCATTACGTGTTAATTACCGGTGATTACACACTTAGATTGTCCAAAACAGAGACAGCAAAAGGCAGGTTTGTCAACTTCCCACCTTAGGATAGCGTACAGTTACGGTCACGGCCACGCATGTATAATTAGCATGCATGTTAATTGGAGGTATTTGACGTAAGAATTTTGGATTAATAACATCTCTATGACAAGCATTGGTCGTACCTTCCACCAAGTATAGCAAAAGTAGCTAACTATGGTCGTTTGGCTCTATGTTTGGAAACTTAACAGAGACTATAAACACAGAAAGCTACCATTTAATTGTTGTTTGTATTCTTAATTATTGTACCTGTACTCTGCAGAAATAATCACATTATCCGGCACAGAGCATGAATACAGTCATGCTTTAGGCTCAGCATCCCGCAAAACAATTCGAGTAAATGTAGCATTTCAGCATAAAAGTACTGTTACCGATTGCCAATTGAAATAACACGCTCACTTAAATTAAAAGCTCTTATTTTGAAAAAGGCGGATCTGAAGCGACTCCCTCTGTCTTCCGACGTATTATATTTCTGTACATTTAGTTAAACTCATGGGTTTCGTAGGAAATCGAACTGAAAATTATATATCAAAATTTATATGTGTAATATTCACGTAAGCGAATTCCCAAAGTAGTACTTTTTCTGGTGGGGTAATTCGCCGCGGAACTAATGAATAAGGTCGTTTGCCTGGGAAGACTTTCACCCAAACACTACATCACACAGGCTGATGCAAGTTGAATGAGTGAGCTGTCAACTACGTGTGAAGAATACTGACGGTATACCGACTTGTCACTATATTTAATCAGAAATAAAATGAGCTGGATATATGATACATGACTATATAAATTATTAAACATGACAGCATGAGCTAAGTGTAGTTTGTGTTTAGTATAGGACGATTAGCTAGCACTACCAGCTCTGCTGTTATTTTCGCATATGGCAGTTAACTCAGGTGCTGTTTAAGTATATACACACATTCTGTAGAAGATAATTGGATTAGGTATAAAACTGATCCTTGTCAGAACATGTAACATTCCTTTATGACATGTAAATTTGGATATGAACTATTTTTCACTTCATATTTTGCTGTGAAGAAGATGACAGACTGTCAAGGCGATGGCGAAGGAACCATGAGTCCCATGGAGCTTTTCGAGAAACTGAATGCTCAAGGAGAAAAAGTCAGATCCTTGAAATCAGCTAAAGCAGAGAAAGTGAGTGACACGTTTTTCGAAATTTACATTTCTATCACTGTGCAAATGCAAATTGTAATTTCAGGTTCACAGAAGGGGTGAACAGATGATTTTCCTGAACACTGTTTTCTATCGTGACACACAGTGATCATCAACAACATTAAAGTTACTCGCCACTAGGGCTGCCACGATTAGTCGACTAGTCACGATTACGT